TTCCAGCTCACAACACTCTATGACTCTATGATCAGACGTCTCCTTCCCTCAAACACCTGGGGCCTCGCAAGCTGCAGACCTGAGATTTGGTAGCGCAGCACTTGGTGTCGCCTCTGCTCGTTCTTTCTGACTGGCTCAGGGTCACTCTCTGCTCAAACGCAGTCCCCGGGCAGAAGCACCCTCTCTCCCGTGGGCCAGTTGTGTGTCTGATGTCAGCTGTGTCCCAGTGGGGAGTCCTGTGCCCAGCAGCCCTCGTGTTGATGGGTGACAGTGAGTCCCCTGCACTCTGACTGTGCTCGTCCTTCTCCCAAAGACCCCGGCTCTCAGTGCCACCCTCGGCTGCCTGTGCCCCTGGGTCAAGGTGCTCTTCTTCACTAGGTGCTGTTTCTGCAGATGAGAACAGCAACCAGAGCTCCCTGTCGGATGTCTACCAGCTCAAGGTGGACAGCAGCCCCAACTCCAGCCCCAGTCCCCAGCAGAGCGAGTCCATGAGTCCTGCCCACACGTCCGACTTCCGCACGGACGACTCACAGCCACCGACACTGGGGCAGGAGACACTGGAAGGTGGGTGCTGGGCTGGGCCTGGGGAAGGTCCTGCCGGAGCTGTTGCTTGTCTGGTGGATGACTGAGGCATCGCTGGAAGTGGACAGGGCAGTGGGGATTTGTGTGTCCTATTGGAGGACTCCTCTCCTGGCTCAGCACAGAGCTGGGTACCACTGTGCTCCTGGGTCAGCAGTTTCATTAACCCTTCTGTTCTCCCCAGAGCCCTCCCTGCCTTCCTCGGAAGTCGCAGATGAGCCTCCCACTCTCACAAAGGAAGAGCCAGTCCCCCTTGAGACTCAGGTAAGGGAAGGGGGATTGAAACCACATTGAAATGTGCACAGACCCAGCTTGGCCCCTTCACCCTCCTTGCTGCCCTTTGCAGCAGAATCATCTCGATGGACAGCTTGCTCTGCAGTCGCAAAGTGCCCTCCAGGAGCTCCCCAAACACCCCTGGCTTCCCAAGCTGTCCCCTGGTTCAGGTCAGGTGTTAAGTGTGAAGAAAGGAGGTGGAGGTGGAGTAAAACAACGATTCTGGCCAGCTCCGGGGCTGAAGTGGGTTCCTACTCCTGGTGCCCTGGGGCTTCCTCACAGATGAAAGCTCGGGGTGTCCCCACAGAGTGACACAGCCTTGTCTGCGTGGGCAGGGGGGCACACTGAGCCCCTGTCACTGCCCCTGACCTCTGCCTCTGGCTCTTGCAGGTAACTGAAGAAGAGGAGGACTCTGGTGCGCCGCCTCTGAAGAGATTTTGTGCCGATCAGAACTCTGTGTGCCACACGGCCTCGGAGAGCTAGCCTGCCCGTCCCCGGGGAGAGCGCCTTCGCCAGCCCCTCGCAGAGCCGCCTGCCCTCCCCTGGGGTCGGGGTGCTTCACTCCAGCCTCCTACATCCCCAGGGACGG